CTCACTTGGTAGCCCAGGCTGGCCTCGAACTCACGGAGATCTGCCTGGCTCTGCCTCCCGAGTGCTGGGATTAAAGGCGTGCGCCACCACCGCCCGGCTCCGAAAGCTATTTTTAAGGTTGATGTGAAGCTTACCCTCCAAGTGGGCAGGTTTGAAAATGTACACTAGGTCATGGGCCGGAGAGATGGCTCTGTGGTTAGGAGTATTTCTGCTCTTGCAGAAGAGCTTGGTTCCCAGCACCCATGCTGGGCCTTTTACAGCTCCCTATAACTTCATCACCGCCCTCTTCTGGCCTCTAAGGGCACCTTCACTCACGTGGCAGACACACACACACTGTACACATAAATAAAAATAAAGTAAATATTTTTAAAAGAAAATGTAGAATATTTTGATCACTCCCCAAGAGTCCCCTTGGGCCTCCTCGAAACCAGTCCTCTTCCCAGTCTCCCACGGATCTGCCTTCTATCTTTAGAGCAAGATTTTTTCCAGAATTTTCTGTAGTGGGATCACATAGTCCGTTATCCTCACTGTCCCCTTCACTTGGCAGGCGCTTTGAGGATTCACCATGCTGGTGAGGGTGGTGGCAGTGTGTTCCTTTCATGTCTGAGCAGTGACCCATTGTGCCACAATCTGTTTCTCCACTTGTCGCTAATGGATGTTAGAATTGCTTCCAGGGTTTTGCAATTATGAACAAAGCTGCGATTCACAATGGACATGGGTTGTTAGAGTCTGGACGTGGCTTCAGTTCATCCCCCAAGGATGCACTTGGAAGCTTGGCTCTGTGTGCATCCATCTCCAGCTCTCAATGCTGGGAGCTAGTAAAATCTTGAAGATTGTGGCACCTGACCAGGTATGGTAGCAGACACCTGCAATCACCACACTCAGGGAACTGAGGCAAAATTGTCAGGAGTTTGAGGCCAGCCTGGGCTACATGGTGAAGTGGAAGCCAGCCTGGACTAGTCTCAAAAAGGGGAAGGAATAGGGGTGGGGACCACTGCCTTGGGGAGGAGTTTATGTAGTCCTCACGGGATCCCAGTTTGCTTCTGGGAGAAAGCATTGTCATAAAAGAGTAAGGCCAGCCCCTTCCCCCTTTCTGGTACCCTGCCCTACATCTTGATCCTTCCCTCCGTCAGAGAGGCTCGCATCAGAACGCAGCCATTGCTGATGCTCTACCCTTGAGCCTCAAAAACTGTGAGCTAAATAAAGCGGTTCATCCTTTTCCTCCTTTCTTCTGTCCTCCCCCTTCCCCTTCCTCCGCTTCTTGTC